TTGCTAGGTCGGCGCATGTGGTAGGCTGATTCGTCCAGGTCGGCGCATGTGGTAGGCTGATCCGGCCAAGTCGCGTAGGTCGCGCCAGGTCGCGCGCAGGCCGCGCCAGGCCAACCAGACCGGTGCCCGGGGGGGGACCAACTTGGTAAGTTGTTGCCTGGGGCTTGCCTAGTTGTCACGAGGTACCACGTGTCGCAATTTCACTGGAGGGCCAAATCTGCCCTCATCAATATGCATTCTACTCTAAAGTGCCGCCGAAGAAGAAACCTAAGCGGAGTTTCAGACCTATGGAGTGCCGCCAAAAAAGAAGAAACAGAAGTGAAATTCTTGAAGGCCGAAAACGTGAAATCTACAGAAGTTTCAGACGAATTTAGATTTCTGAGAGGCCGTTGTTGGCTGCATTAGGAGATCTTTTGTGACTGTTGTTTTTTGAAGGTTGGAGTTCTGTAAAGATGGCTGAACAATTGGCTAACAAAGTTATGTATCGATTTTTTTCAACGATAAGCATGCTCTCATTTTCGATGTAAACTCTGACAACTCTGTATTTTTGTATCGTTTTTTGATGTAAAATTATGTTCTTACCAAATGGTAGTAAACCTAAACCAGAAGCATATATGCAATGGTTTTGGGTTTGCATCTTCAACAAACACAGCCTAAAAAGGTGAAAATTGGCTCAGTTGGTAAGACAACAAATACGGCCTTCATCCTCCCAGGTTTGCTTGGCAAAAGAATTAAAAATAAATTACAGTAAAAAAAGAGAGGAACAATTAAGAGGTGTACTTGGATATTTTTCTCTATGGTTCTTTACTTTCCCATGCTACCTCAATTCCAAGAAATAATCAAATAATTGAGCAAGAATAACAGTATCATTGAGAGAAGAGTGAAAGGGGAAAAAATTAAACAGCATAAATGTGTGTTATCATGCGATGGTGAATACAAAAGAGTGGTTAACAACAAAAAGTCAAAAACAAACAAACCTGACCTGGCCTGATGTATCATTCTGCTAAACTTGATTATCATCATCATCGTTATCTAAATTTGAAAATTTGGCGTCAGTTAAACCTGATTAATTAATTGTAGGTAATAAATTTGAAATTTTGGCTCAATTTCGGAAAGAGTAAGAACACAAATATGTAGACTGCAAAATCTTGATTTTTTCTTTTTTTAATTATTTTGTATTTATTCTCTTTCCAAATTTAACCTTTTTGGGAAAAATAGAAAAAAATCCAAAACATAACATAGATACAGATATAGATATTTCATGGACCATCAATAAAATAACTCTTCTGAAACAACAACCTTAACAAACTCTTAATTCTTAAAATGTTTTTATATATAATATATTTTAAAATGCAATTGTCCACATCAGACTCCTCATTGCTTCCCAACTCCCAACCCTTTTATAATTGTGTTTTTTAATTTGTAAAATAAAAATAAATGAAGCCATTTAATCTCACCCACACTCAATTCAGTTAAAAAACTGAATGTAACATGGACATCACATCGCGCAAAGGTCCCTTCTAATTTCACTCAATTCTTAAAAAGTTTAGGACAAATAAAAGCAATGTTTTAAAAAACGACCTAGAATTGGAACCGTTCTGCCAATTGGTTTCTGGGTGTCAGAACGAATGGTCCATTGCAACAATAAATTAAAAAAATAAAAATAATTAAAATTTAAAAACAACCAAAAACCGTTGCCACCCAGATTAATGAATTATTGATCAATTCAATAGTTTTTGATCAGGAGACCAGGTATGAGATAAAATGAAACTGATTGCCTAAATAATTTTCGGGCTGAACGATTCGACCATCCAGGTCAATGGCGATTCAAAAATCATGAGTACAAGTTTTTCTTCGGCCCTCAATGTGATTTTATCTCCCACATTTTATATATCTCTTCCTTCAAGAGCTTAATTTTCCTATTTTAAGGTTAGATAAGATATGTTAACAGTGAGGTAGTCCCAGTTTATATGTTGAATGGTCGGTGCAGTTTTGAATCCTGTATAAGAAAGAATTGTGAAATTAATTAATTATATGATGTTGTTATACTGACTAAACGCCCCTGTGGAGTGTCGGGCATTGATTGGACCCCTAAATCTCTTTAATAGGCATTTGGGTGGGTTACATGTGCACTAAGCCACTAATATTGATATTTTGAGAGCCCATTTGGGAATTGGGAGGCATTATGCATTGATTGAGCTGCTTCCGAGAAATTGATATTTTGAGAGCATATTTAGGAGGACATTATGCATTGATTGATAATTTAACTGAAAAAGAGAGATAAGGATGGACTATGGACTTGATAATTTCACCATAGAGTAAGTTTTTTTCTCATGTAATTCCAGTTTTTACCGGGCAATCCCTCCCAAACAAGCACAGAACCCTGGATTGAATTATAAGGATGGACTATGGACTTGATGAATCAGAGCCCTCTCACTCTCTCATTAGAGCTCTTTACCAACATGCTGTGGTGGGACGGAAATAATAATTTGAGAGTGAAATAGAAAGAATTTCATATAGCTTAATTTAGAAAGGGCTATACACAAAATTACCCAAAAAATACTAAAAATAATAAATTAAAAAGGGGGGGGGGGGGGTTCAAAACACCTCTAACTCCAACCCATACAGGACACCGGCGTGCTTCTCCGGTCCATCTTTCCCAAAGTACATCTCTCTCATCTTCTGGAACGCATGCCATGTCAACAAACTGTCCGAACCGGCCTGATGGCACTTCCCAACCGCCCGGTTCACTGCAAGCGTCTTAGCCACCCGGTCCAACCCCCCGTACAAACTCTGACAAAACTTCATCAGATGTTTCACGTCGTACACCCTGCTCCCGAAGAATACCCTCAAAAGACCCAAAAACTCTCCCATCTCTTTCGGCAGGCTCCGGCTGGTCAGGATCTTCACCAGGTACCCAAAATCGTACGCGCTGTGAAACGTCACCCAACTTACCGAATCATTGCAGACGAGTCCCGACGACATCATCAACTCGGCGAATCGGCTCGAATCGATTCCCTTCTCCTTGTTCTTCTCAAAATCAATCCCCTGTTTGCTCAACAGTTCGATCGAATCCGGCGCGTGCGCGTCGCGGGAGACATCGAAGTCGCGGAAGTTGAATTCCCAAATGTACCGGTTACCGGTGCCCAGATCCGGAAGGTTACCGTCGGCGTCGGAGAAGGTGAGGCCGACCTGGATGAGATTCAAGTTGTCCACGTTGGCTTTTAGGACGAGGTAATGGTCAGACGGCTTCCGGTAGTAAAACTTCGCGTTTCTGCCGGCGGGACGGAAGACGATGCCGGGGAATTCTGTATCCATGGAGATAAAGGGGTACTGATCGATTACATCCTGGATCAACTCGAATTCGGCTTCGAGGTTGTCGGACCAAACTTCCCGTATTACGATAGGCTTCGAATTTGAATTGGGGTCGACGCAAGACATGATCGTTGATGCCTGTAGATGTCAAATCCTTGAATTAAAGTAAATATCTCTGGTTGTTCCAGATCGAAGACCAAGTGATCTTCGGAGCTGCAGTGAGCTTCGAAGGTTGGAATTCTGAGGGTTTGTTGTATGATGGGAGGAGGGGAAGGGAGAGGTGGGTTTTTATAAAAAGGGGTGAGGGGAGAGCGGTGGGAGGAGTTTGTTGTTGCTTGGAAACAGGGGAAGAGGACGTGCACTAGAGAGGCGGCTCGTTTAGTAATGTAACAATTCTCGGAAGGTCGGCCTGGGCCGGTGGGCCCCTCTAAGTCTTGGCTTTTTTGACTGATAAAGTTTAGTAACCGACTGACTCTGACTCTGGCTCGGCTCCTTCGCCTTTACGGCTTTACCTTCCTTTTCTGGCGATACTTTTTTTTTTTTTTTTTTTAATTTAACCTTATTGGTAGGTTTTTACTTTTTATTTCTATCTAGGGTCTATTGGTATTGACAAGTGGGTCGTGGAGCAGGGGTAGGTCGGGTCGTTTTCGGGTAGGATTATGTGGCCCGTGGAAAATAATGGATCAGATCAACTTGACAAGGCTCGAAGCAATCGGACCCTAGTACACATCCTTTAGGTTTGGACTTTGAGTCCGATTATTGCGCCAAATTTTGTGTTTTGGGCCATGATCGGTATTATATGCAAAAAATTTGGACGGATGGAAATACAAATCACAATGTGTTAAGAAAATCGACACCAAGGCCGAATGGTGTTTGCTTATAGGTCATCAGTTAGTGGTTCGACCGTTCCGGCAAATGGGTCAAACCATGAAATATATATATATATATAATTATATTTTATATAATATATTTATTATTTTATATTTAATTTATATTATTTATTTCAATTTTTTAAATGGGATTTGAGGCTAAAAGGAGGCTTGCAAAAATAATGGGAAAGACATGAAAAATAATCTAAAATCGATATAATAATCACCCTAATCAGATAATCAAATACAAAGCTATTATGGTCTTCGTATGCACATAGTGTGTCAATGGTTTCAACTGATCTTGATTCGGCCGGTTGAATCGTTCGAACTATCACTCGGTCAAAATTTTGGGTTCGGTTCAATCAAAATTCATTAGACATTCAAAAATCATTGATTTTGTCAAAAATTGTTTGACTGAGTCAATTTGATTGCTGGCCCATTCGATTCGGTCATAGGATCGCGGGTTGCACATTCAATGTATGCAAACTTTCGGAGGCCAAAACTTTGCACTCCGATTTCCGATTAGGGTGATTTTTTTATTTTATGTAACTTTTGAGATCTATGCACTCCAAGGAGCCTTAGGTGCCTTGGCATGCTATTTTCGCAAAAAAAAAACTTTTTTTAGCCTCAAATTGCAATTTTTTATTTTTTTATAAATAAAAAGAATTAAAAAATATAAATATAAATATATAACATATCTAAAATATATTTATATACTATTTATCGATAAAATATATATTTATACACATACACACACATATATATGATGACGTCGCACGATCTTAAATGTTTGACCTAGCTGGTCGAATCAGTGACCCGCGACCTGGAGGCAAAAACGGTTCAGCCTCCAAATCAATTTTTAAAACATTGGTTTCTGTAACTTGGTGACCAAAATAAACACATCAACCAATTCAACAATTTTTTGTCAAATCCCAAGCTTTAGAAAAACCAAACTCGGAATAATGACTTGGTGATGGTCCAAATGGTTCTATTGTTCTGATCAACGGTGGGGTTGAAAACACTCCATATGACGAATTAGACGGGTGGAATACTCCTAAAAATTTGGGGAGGGATATTTAGCACCTTATCCTTCAGAGAGCAAATCAGCCCTCCACAACGTCCCACAACACATCTCCGCCATGTATTGGGAACACCTCCCGATGATGATACTAGAAATGGTGATGTCATCAATGGGAGATGTTCACAATACACAGTGGGGATGTGCTGTGGAACGTTGTGGGGGGCTGATTTGAACTCTATCCTTCAATCCAACGGGTCCAATGTGCCATGTAGAAATCCTTTGGCCACGTAGGATGTGGGCAATTTGATGTGTTTGTATTTCATTGGACAATATTAGGGCTGCCAACAGGTTGAGTCTGGTTCCTAATATAGTGTTTCAAACTGATTATTAATCAGGACAAAATCATATACCTGAACCGTTGAAATTATTAATTTGGACGATCCCATTTGATGTGATTGAACTTGATTAGACCGATATCTATTGATGAGGGCAGATTTGGCCCTCCAGTGAAGTTGCGACGCGTGGCACCTCTTGACAACTAGGCAAGCCCCCAGGCAACAACTTACCAAGTTG